CACTCCTGCATCTTCCCCCGGCCAGGCGAAACGTGCGCTTGAGGCTCACCTCGCCGAAACTGAACGTCGGATGGAAGAAGCTGGCAAGCTAGGAACCGCGCTTGTCCAGCAGCGAAAAGAGCTGGCACAGCGACTGAAGGAGGTCGAAAAGCTACAGGCTGAAGGAGACCTGACTGATGAGCTGCGCACGAAGCTTGCCGAGATTGAAAAGGAATACAACGATGTAGCACGGGAAACTGCGCGGGCTTTTCTGCCGAAGCAGAGAGTGCCCAGTAATGAGGCCGCTGGAGGTTCACCATATGTACCGGAAGGTCGCGGCGGAAGAGTGAGTCAAGCAGACGGAACACCGGGGCTGACATGCACTAACAGGATGATCTCGCAGCGTTCCGTCAGTCCATCGAAATTCGAGAGCCAAGCCACAGGATCACCGACAAAGCTCAGCGTCCCGAACCGAAAGATAAGGAACCAACCCTCGAACCGGGTGCACGATATCGAATTCGCAGCAGAGATCAGCACCTCTCTGCTCGCCCAGGTCCGCAACCTGCAGGCGCTTCTCGCCGAGAAGGATGAGGAGCTCCGCGATACGAAGGCCGAGAAGTCTAGGCTCGAGATCGAGACGGAAGGGTTCCAGCAACGGGTCAAGACCCTCGATGAAAGCGAGCATCGTTATAAGGACGAAAACTGGAACCTGGAGACGCAGATCCACGAGCTGATGGCCTCCCAGAAAGAGGGCACAGATCGCGAGAAGAAGATGACCCAGGCTCTGAACATCCTCCAGGCCGAAAAGAACCAGGCCCAGAAGGAACTCGACGAAGTGAAGCTCTCCCACGCGAAGTTGGCCGAGGAGCACGAAGCCTCCATCAAGCATCACGATATAGAGCTCGGCACGGCCAAACGCAGCGCCGCCCTCGCAGAAACCGAGCGCACAACTCTGCAACGCAAGATCGATGACTTGATGGGCCAGAACCAGGAACTTGCCAAGGCCTTCTCGTCTCAACGCGGACGAGGCCTCGAGCGAGACCATCATATGGGTATGAGCGACGAAGACTTCGAGACCGCGAACGATAATGTCACACCGGAACACTCACCCCCTCCCTCGCCCATCAAGGGCACTCCACGCCACTCTGTTCTCGAATCCGAAACCCTCAAGACGTCCCTTCTTCATGCTCAGCGAACCATCCAAAGCCAGCGATCGCAGTTGCACCGCGAGAAGACTGAGAAGCTCGAGCTCAAGAGGCTCCTTCAGGACAGTCGCGATGAGCTCGAAAGGTCTCGCAACGATTCTGGTGGTCTCACGAACCGTCGCAGTCGCAAAGTCGATTCTAAAGAGTTCAAGAAGCCCGCTAAGACTCTGCTGGGAGGTCTTCGTTCAAGTCGCAGCGAAATTGTCGACGACCCTGAATGGGAAGAGCACTCCGAGGGCGTCAGTCCCAGACGCTCTTCCACCCACTCCACTCCCACGTCGCGCATGCCTGGGCCCGGCGCCTATCCTATGACCACCGACACGAGCGACCAGTTTGACACTGCCAACGAGACCAGCGATGCCGCTTTCGAGACAGCCAACGAACGTGGCACGGAGACTGAAGGCTTCCACACCGGCGCAGAAGAGTTCTCTGACGACGACGACGCCCAGACCGAGACGGAAAGCCCTTCAAGGTCCCGCAGGCCGCCAGCCTTGACGCTTGCTGGAAACCGAAACTCTTTCCACAGCACGGCGTCGACATCGGCCGACGAAGATATGGATTACAGCGACCTGAGAACGCCGGTAGCGCACTCTTCACAACAGAAAATGCGCCTCAAGGTCAGCCGCGGATTCCTCAACCGACGCTCGCGACAAGCGAGCGAGGAGCCCACCTTCCAGAGCAGCCCGGCCAGTTTTGCAACCAGCAGTGCCAATGGAACGCCCCAGCAAGCCGGTCAGAGTTTGTTCGCCGAGCTGGCAGAGCTCGAAGGCAGCGACGCCGAGTCCCTCGATGCAACGCCCAGTCGCAGAGCCAGGTCTATCACCCCTGCATCTGTGGCTAAGAGTTCGAGCACTACGCCCTCTGTGCTCGCTTTACCTCAACTTGCGATGGTCGACAGCGGCATCATGACCGACCCTGTGAAGAAGTCCCGCGAGCCATCGCCCGACCTGACGAGAACGAGACCTGTCATGGTCGACTGCGGCGTCATGACCGAACCTATGGAACCCCTGACCCCGCGATCCCCAGCCAGCGTCGTTGCTCTCGACAGGCCCACGTCTGTATCTTCTACGCTCGACGCCGGTACCAACTCAGGTCAGAGTGACACCACTGCCTCGCGTCTACCAGATTCCCCCCGCTCTAGGCCACAATCAACATGGTCGTACAGTGATGCTGGTGCACAACACGATCCTGGTATGGACAGAGAGCTGTCTCAGTTCCCTCTCCCACCCACAATGCAACATGGCTTTGCTCTGCCCTCAGCCCCAAGCCTGAGCTTCTCAGCCATTGACAATCAAGACATCGTGCCAGTCCCTGAGCCCGTGGTACTCCCTCCCGCGCCTGCGGCGCTAACGCTCACCGCGTTGGACTCCACCGCCATTGAGCCGAAAGCCGAGCCTGAGCCCGTTCCTGAACCGGCACCGGCCTTGCGACTGTCGCCGATTCTCTCGGAGACGGTTGAGCCGAAGGTGGAGCCTGAGGTGGCTGTCCCGGTACCTATTTTAAAGTACTCACCACTGATGTCGTCGACCGTGGAGCCCAGGGCCGAACCTGAGGTTATCCTACCCGCTCCTGTGCTTGGTCTTTCTTCACACTGGTCCGAAGCTGTTGAGCCACGGTCAGAACCTGCGATGGTACCTCCGCCTCCTCCGCCGGCTCCTGAGCTCGCGTTTTCTGCCTTGGTCTCTGAGATTGTTGAGCCCAGACCAGAGCTTGAAATGGCCCCCCCTCCCCCGCCCCCCTATGCCGCAACTCGTTTTCTCTTACTTC